GAAAAGCCAAGATTGAAGAAGATAAACGATATTGGTGGAGCCGAGTCTTTTGACTTTATTAACCATTAGAGATAAGACAGAAGAAAACATGATTCTCCTCACTGCTTCCACGTAATAGTTATGATCCATACATCCATTTCTAATTTCTTTTACCATATATACTTTTGGTTTGGCCCTTCAGCATCCTATGGGGTTTCATTTGTCCTACTGATCTTCTGCTTTGCTTTCTGCATATCATTAGACCATGTTCAGTTTTCCGCTACAGACAATTTCTACATAAATAATTCAACACGCTGGATGTTTTTGAATATTTTATCTGACATGTTTTGCTTTTGGATTAGAATTAACGTGTCTTAATATGTATGTGAATTAAAAAAAGAAATACAAAAGAGAGTATATATAGTTGATGTAATTTTTATCCAAGTAAATTAAATAGGAAAAAGGAGAAAATGTAAACGTAGATCTGTACTTTAATATTGTTAGCTGGCGTGATTATTCTCCTTCTCTCCTTTGCATGATTGGGGAGATTCGTGTTTCATAATTGGTTCTTTTTAGTCAATAATATTGAAAATCACGTAACTAGCATGATATGAGAGAACCAATTGCCACTGCCTTAAGAAACGATGGACTTGTCGTTTTCTATGTTGTTAATCCTACTTCACTCCTGACAGCAACTTGCCTCTACATATATCTTTCCACTGTCGGCAGCAGAACCTTCCATCATTGAATAAAAAATTAATAAGCTTTAAGTTTTATTATAATTCTGGTGATGGAATATTGAATCTCTTTCAATAGACACCTTTCGAGTTATGGCTGATCCATCCATCCGTTAGTGAGAAGGAAAAGAAAAATGATGGGGTTCCATCTGCGACCATGGATGCAGTGGATAAAATAAAAACAATATGAAAAATACAAGTGTTTGTTGATTTTATAATGCCACAATAAAAAGAGGTCTCTCTCAATCTGAAAGGAAGAGGTGTTAAGAGCACGTGTTACAGTAATGGGAACTCTTGAATTGAATGTGGATCATTCACTTGCGGGGGTGCTGAGGACAGTTGGGGCCATCACCTTAAATTATATAGCAACGTAAACACCTATACATATATGGTAATAGACTATTCTCTCCAAAACTCTTTCTAATAATTTCTTTTAATAAGTTTGTTTTTTTTAATAAATTTATCCTAAATATTTATACCCTCTATATATTTTTTTAAATTTCTCTCTAATAAATAAACTTTAGATACTCATTTTTTCTACTAAATTCTTCCTAAATATTTTTATAAATAAATATTATTATAAAATAAATTACTACTTAAAATAATTAAAAAATTAAATATACCAAAAATAAAAAATTAGATAAAAATATTTTAATAATTATTAATCATTATTAAATTTCACAATACTGTAAAATAAACAGTTAGTGAATATAATTAAAAGAAAAAATATATCAAACTAAAAGAAAAAATTGGATAAAAATATTTTAATAATTACTAATCACTATTACATTTTTTAATATTATAAAATAAAATATTACTGAAAATAATAAAAAAAAATAAATATATCAAAACAAATATTATAAAATAAATCACAAGTCATTATTAGATTTTCACAATATTATAAAATAAAATGCTATTGAAAATAATTAAAAAAATAAATACTTATTTTTTCTTCCCTCTAATAATTAATTTTCTCTAATAAAAAATTATAATTACAAAACGTTCCTCCAACATATTTTCATATGCAAATATTATAAAAAAGATTAAAATCTTATTATTAATATGATTATATAATATAATGATACATTAATATAAAAAATTGTAACGATATCATAAAATATCAATTACATTAAAAGATGGATTCTCTTAGGATTAGAATAGGATCCTCACTATAGTATAGTGTAGTGTAAAACTAAATCCTAAAAATGTGAAAGTACTAAAACTATAAGAAACTAATGAAGTACTCCTACATACTAAGGTATCTTGCTTGAAGGGGTAGTTTGGTATGGTTTGTGTTTAGGAATGTATTTTTCTTTGTATAACTTGGCTAACGAAATAGATCGGATCAAAGTGGTAGGAGCCTGGGCAATAACATATATCCCTCCTAATCTCAGGTTTTAAACCACCCACAAAGCAATCCAGAAGAGCATCAGTGGTAATTCCATGCACACGGTTCGCCAAAGAAGTGAACTGCACATAATAATCATGCACTGACCCAGTCTGTGTCAATTTGAACAAATGTGATCTAGGACATTCATACGGTGAAGGACCAAATTCTATCTCCAAAGCTCTTGGGCCTACGCTAATTTTTATATATTGGGCTTGTTTTGCTCCATTTAATCAAATAAATTGATTTAGCTAGGTCTCACCCTCATTAGGTGAACCTAACTACACCAATTCCAACATTTTTGGATTGGACTAAGTGAAGGAAAACAAGCTTGACCACCTAGCTCACCTTGCTTGGCCGAAATTACCTTAGCTTCACTCATACACTTGGATAGCTTGTGCTACAAGCTTCTAGCTTAGCTTGCTCCCTAAGCTTCTAAGTTAGAAGCTTGGGGAGCAAGCTTCCAAGTGTTAGAAAAGAATGGCTCAATCCAAGAGCGGGGGTGAATTGGATTCTAAGACACTTAAAATAATTTCAGAGTTCTAAGGATCTTTATTTCAATTTAAACTTTTCTAATATGAATTCTCAAAGAAGTTCCTTGAAAGACTTGCAAATGGGAATGAGTCCTATATGCTTTCTTGATTAATCTTTGATAAAGTTCAAAGTTAAGAACACTTAATATGCAACACTTTGATTCAGTTTAAAGCAATGTTACACATGCAAACATATTAATTAAGATTATTCACTTTAACACTCAACCAAGATTTTCCTCAAAGTAAAAGATAAGGGTGAGAGAAGAATGCACAAGTATTTTATCCTGGTTCAGCCACTCCACATGTGACCTACATCCAGTCCTCAATCATAACCTGATCAAGATTTGTTCCACTATCTCAATGAAGAAGTTTTACAAGCATACAACACATGCATATACTCCTACATTCAAGATAACCACTTTCTTGACCCCAAGAAAGCACTTCTTGTAGAAACCCACTACAAGAATTCCTTACCACTTGAGACACCTACTCAAGATTTTCCTTACACAATACAAAGAATTAAGGAACGAATTCACATGGAAGCTGAACAAATCAAACTGTGAATTCCAAAAGCAAATCTCAATCTTTCTTTCCCAAGAATGTGATGATGATGATGATGATGATGATCTCTTTCAAAGCATTTCAAAAATGTTTTACTTCTTGGTTTCACAAAGAAAACACTCCAAGAAGGTCACAAAGACTTCACAATAACATTTTTCTCTTTTTGATTGTTAACTCGTTCTCTCTGTTCTGAAGTTTCAAAGTGTGAAAACTATTTATAAAATTTTCAGAACCAGATAATCGATTATTTTAAAGGATAATCGATTATTTTGTTCTTCATGATTTCTGGAAATCAACCAAGAACAGATTAATCGATTATTTTGCAGGATAATCGATTATTCCAGAGAGTGATTCCTGGGATAATCGATTATTTCACAAATAATTAGGAGGTAATCCCATTGGTACAACAAAAACATCCTTGTACGTATGTAGCAATCTAGCTAATTCTGGCTCCATATCAGTTGGTAATTCTAACCACTGATCCTCTAGATAGGCATGGTGTTGAAATTGCAGAGCAAACAACTCAGAAATGGCATGAGTGTTCTGCATCCTTCTGAGGTGATTAAATTGAGCAGGTCGAGGAAGCTGTGACCGTTCACCTTGTAAAGTAATAAATTTGTCACCCACATAAAATTTCAAAGTTAGATTGCTGTAATCAGAAACATGAGGGCCGAGTGTTGCTAACCAAGCTGCTCCCAACACTAAATCAGCACCAGAAACATTCAAAAGATACACTGGAAGATTTAGTTGTTGTCCTTGAATTCGAACCTCCAAGTCACGAACCAATCCTTCATCCTGCAGAGAGTTTCCATTACCAACTAAAACTTGGAATTGAGGAATTGGCTCAATAGGCAATTTCAATGAATGAGCAATCCGAGGTTGTAAAAAATTATCCGAGCTCCCACTATCAAGCAACACTTGCACTAAAAGGATATATTATAATTGTGACATTTTAATATTAATATAATAAGCTGTAACTGTGAAATAAAATATTAATTATATTAATTTATTAATTATTGGTGGTTTTGAAATAAATAAACAAAAGAGAGAAAAATAAGATAATTAATCTTATTTCAAAACAATATCCCTTCCACTTTTTAATCTGTAATATTAAAAAAAAAAACTGTATTTATCTATCATTTTAAAAGTTGAAAATAACATTAAATATTATTTTACTAATGAATAAAAGATAGAATTATGGAGATAATAAATAAAGGTATATAATATTTCTTTTAATAAGTTAATAAAATTAATCACAACCTCTCTAGTTTTTTAACATATATTCACATCACCAAAAAAAATATATATATTGACATCGTCGCGTATTGAATAATCCGACACAAACCATTTACTTTATTTAAGAAAGTGATGCACACTACTTTGATGCTATGTATGTGCAAGTATAATTTAAGACCTCATAAAAGATAAATACATTTTCCCCTACTTTATATACATGAATATTATGTGCCCAACTTAAATTTCTTAATTTATCATTAAGAGACTTCGTTTATCTTAGACTAGGTCACCAGTTTTTCACCCTACAATTTATTTAAACAAAAGTGAATATAGTCAGAAGTGTGTTTAAAAAGACAGATTGGTTTCTTACTTATTTGACTAAATAGATTATAAGTTTCATTAAAATACTCTTGCAAATGAAATTGTTAACCAATTACAGGTTGACATGTATGTTAAGTTTGTTATATTTTACAATAATTATTTTAAGTTCACTTAAAATATTTTTAAATATAATTAATTTTAGTGAATATGTAATGTAAACTTTACATTATAAGGCTAAAGTCAAAATTTTATTATGTGTAACGAGTAGAAATTTTGATTAGATGACTTACATTGGTCATACATAAACTTTTTTTTTTCAACAGCTTTTATCCTAAACACCTCAAATTCTACATCCACTCAATGTGTTAATCTTTTTCTTCTTTCGTCATCACATCATCCACCATATCTATTCCATTCTATTTTCTTAACTTACTCCCTAAAGGGTTTCTTCGCCCTCAAATGAGTGTCCGAGCAGGAATAACAAAATATTACAACAGATACTTGGAACAAGTAAATAATTAAATATAAATGAAATTCAATACAAACACTAAAGATGTAATCATTCTTGCGGTACACCATCAACTTCCCCACTTCTGTTAGTAACTTCCTGGGCGTCTGGGTCCGGGAGATCTTTAATCGCCTGTAGAAGAATAAATCAATTCCTTGTATCAAGTACCAACAATCGAGGACGTTTACAGTTTAACATCAAGAAAAGGCTACCAATTATTGAGTGGTATTGGTATTTACTATTTAGTTAAATTCTTTAAGGAAAAAGAAAATAAGAGGTAAAATAAATCAAACATTAAAATCAATTTTAGGCAACTTATGATTTTTTTAAAAAAATTGAGATATACAAGTTATTTTATATTATGAGAGAAGTTCAACTTCTTATATTTTATTCTCTTAGAAATTACCTGATAAAGATACCAAGAAGCAAAAGCATCTGTTGCAGCATACTCTAGTTGCCCCTGTGACAAAATAGGAGTCTCCCAATTTCCCAGTCTTATTTTTTTGGGTTTTTTAAGCTGCAAGCATAACAAGCTGGGTAAATATTCTGCCAACGTAGTTCCTCACCATTTTCTAGACGGCGGTTGAAATTCTCCCTGCCCCCCTTAACATTTCCCCCTCTCCAGGGGCAAAAAATAAAATAAAAGCAAATGCAAAAGATTATTGAAAGAGAGTAATGATCAAGTAAGAAAATGACATACTTGTTATCTCTATTTTTGTTATTTTTGTGTGAGGATAAAATGAACGAGAAGGAAAAACACTTTATTACTAGTGGCATCCACTTTTTTCATTGTCTATTTCCGACATGCCTATAAATTCTGTTGGTCTAACAAGACCTTACTCACTTTGAAGAACTTACAACTAACGCCAATGGAAAAGGAAAAGAATTAACGATTTATTCAAAATGAATTATGGCTTAAGTGCAGTAATGCACGTGTTAAATTTTTTGTTATTGTTTTCTTAAATTAAAACTTATTTAACTGCTACTAATCTAGTAATTAAAGCTATTCATGGCAAAAAAATATTAATACAAAATTTGTAATTAGATATACTGATAATAATTTAGGATGCAACAAAAACATTAGTTACAATATGCAACATTGAATAATGTATTGATTTAGTGGGAAGAGGACGTGTCATTTTCCTTTTGGCTAATTTAAGACCAACAAAATTTCATTTTTTCAGAGTCTACCATATAAAAATTTGAGGAAGGGTGTGAGCAGGTCTGTCACATTTAACTGCCGACAGTTTTCCAGTTAACCAGCCAGTTGGAAGGGCACATAACAGTAATTTTCAGCTATCAAGTGTCAGAAGAAGACTGGACTAGTGGAATCACCATGTCCATGTCTGTTCTGATTTTAAGACAATTGGATTCAAAAACATACCTGTTTTGATAAAAGTTTTTCAGCCAAGGATGCAAGACCCCACTTTTGATCTCCACCAAGCTTTTGATTAGCATGGAAAGAAAGATCCATCACACCTTTAACAGATATGTTATAATCCTTAAAAACCTTCACAGCATCCCCATCAATCCCAGCTCCAACCTAGTGCACATCAAACTTTGTATTAATGCTTGTGACAATTGATTCTTTCCCATAGACACACAAGAAAACAAGCCAAGAAAATTAAAATCCATCCTAACAGAAATATAAACCTTCAAGACTGTGGGATCTTCAAGCAAAAGCTGTAAATTCTGAGGGATTCCGGAATGAATTAGATGTAGAACATGACAATGACTAGTGTCACCACATATCTGCATCACTGCCACCTTTCCTGGTGGAACACCTATAAAAGTTTTATACAATAATGATTCAGTAATTTATGGCAATCTCTTTCTTTTTTAAGAATTAATGTTTTATAGGGGCAAAAGGAAAGACTCTCCTGCTGCAGAAAAGTAGGCAACTCCTCTCTCACCATAGGTGAACAAAATGTTTACCTAAAAGATAATCCATAAAGTATGGGCAAGAAGCCAAACAATTGGCTGGAATTAGAACTTTAATCCCCCAAGTACTTGAATCATTTCTTACCCTCATCTACATTGCAACACAAAAATAGAGAGACTCTGCCTCCCAGGTATTGTGAAATTTCTCATCATGACTGTCCACTGATGTTCTAGAATTTTGATCAAGGATCTATACATAAAACATTATATTCCACATGATATAAAATTATCAATTCAAAAATTTAAACTAGTCGGATAACAACAGGCAAAATGGGCAGGAAACAGTTTTCTTCATCCTTATTTATTTAACCAACAAAAATATTTTGATATCAGATAGGAAAATACTCAAGATATACCAACATTCTCTTTCATCTCATTTTCACTCGCATTTTCTTCATATCTCTCCTCCTTTTCCATTACATTACTTATCACATATGTCACTTTCTCTCTCAACTTTTTCTTTTTTCTTCCTATCTCTCTTCTTTCCACCCCAATCCACCTCAAAATGCGATAGACATTTATCATTACTCTATCAGATACATACAAATATTATTACCTAAATGCAGCAATTGTAACAGACCCAGTACAATCAGGTAAATGCTATGCCATAATCAGCTATTGGAAAAAAAAGGAGATGAGCAGAACCAACCTTTTTTAAAGGTGGGTTTCCACTCAATGTCAAATCCAATCACAATTTGCATCATCTCTCTTTTTCTTTCTTCCAGAATTTGTAAGAGCTTCGCTGCAGCTTTCTCTACAGCGTCAAAAGTCCTGCTATACATAATTTGACCACTAAACTTCAACACAGGTAATCTCATTCTTGAATAGCCTGGGCAAGATGAAAAACAATATCATAAATGTTACTAGAAAAATTTGAGCAATTGTAGATACAAATTCATTCAAAGTTCAATTTAACAGAGAAAGAGAAGATAGATATTCCAGTTTTTCATGCTATTGAACCATAGATGGAGATTAAGACTCCTTTATCATATCCTAGAACTAATTGACTGTTTCTAAAAACCAAATGGAATTCCTTTCAAGCATCTCTATACAAAGTGAAACCAATCAAACAGAGTCATAAATACTATGTCCTCTTCAGACATGCCTTAACAGAAGCAGTAGGGAAGAAGATTATTAAAAGTAATTACAACCATATAATTTCAAAGATAATTTAATTAACTTTCATACATTCAGTTTATGTATAGTATTTTAGGTCCAATTTATTTTAAATAAGTGTTTGGGTGTTTGAGTTTTAAGGTCCAAGGATACCTAATGGGCTTGGATTAGCAGTAAGTGACAATGATTATATTTTGAGATGCAAGTTGATTCCTTCATATTTCAATCCAGTTTATTAGAATTTCCTAAAAGGTGTAATCTCCAAGGTCTTACCTTGTATTATAAAAGCAAAACTTTAGCCATTGTATGAAAGATCTTTTACTTGACTATTAAACCCAGAATTAACACGTTCTTTTGTGGTTTGTTACAGCAGACTCACTCCCATTGGCTAGGGCTGTGCAAAAAATGGAGATTTTAGAAAATTGATCATCATTATAAAAACAGTTTGGTTCATATCTTTTGGATCGGTTTATTTATCTTTTTCACACCTATGCATGCTTTGGGTTTTTCAAAGAACTAAACTAAATCATCTTAAAATGGTCCCATAACCAAACCATTTTAATAAAGTGGTTTGGTTTGGATTTTTCTCAAAAACAGTTCAATTTTTTTTTTGATCATATAGGTTCAGTTCCAAAACATTTCGGTTGTGTTTGGATCTTTTGCACACCCTTACTATTGGTATTGTTTGACTAGTTCTACACTCAATTCTATCCTACTCATTCCTTACCTGCATCATGCCCTTTTCTTAAGTGGGGAGAAATCATAATAATGTGGTAGACTGCTATCCAGCATAGCATGTTGGGGTGGCACTTAGACTGAAAATCATATTACCTAGAATATGAAGGTCTAACAATAATCCATAAAAGAACTGAATGTTCACCTGCCTCCAAAGAGGGTGAACAGGAATAGTCATTGCTCATTGTTTCATATAACTTTTCATCCTCTATAGTGATTGAAACTGTATTTACTGAACCGGTGTCACTTTGTATATTATAGAAAAACGGATCACAAAATTTCCATACATTGTATGGCATGCTAAACAGCAGAAATGAGAAATTAGTGTATCTGGCGGGCGAAATTGAAAAACCCTAAGAGGAGCTGTATTTGAAACGGTGAAATAGAAGGAGGGGGAGGAGAAAGAACCTGGATGAGGCGAGAGAGAAGAAGCATTAGGGTGTTGGAGAGCGACAAGCGATGTGGGCAAGCGGCGGCGGGGAGGGTGATCGTTGGAACGAGGACGTTTATTGGTGGCGTTGGAAAGAGAGGCGTCGATGGCTTTGAGGTCTTCCTCCGAGAATGGCTCACAATCGCAGACGAACGAGGCAAGTCGCGTGAAACCACCCTCCACGTTCTTCATCTCAAACCCCTCCCCTCCCCACTTCGGACTCGAAAACATGGAGGGAATGTAGGGTGTCCGATTTCACTGTTTTGTATTTTTATTTTTTTAAAAATAAACATGGAGAACATCCAAAATTGATAATGAATGAACAAACGTCATTTTCACTAATTTTTTACACTTTTAAAATTAATAATTATTAATTTCTTTTAACTTACTTCTAAACTTATAGTTTTGTATATATAATACAATAGACTTGATTTTTTTTATAAACATAATTCAATCTATCTGTTTTATATTTTTTGTTTGTAAATAGAGAAATTTTATTTAATACGTATAATATATTAATATATTAATACTATAAGATTTATTAGATACAATTATTTTATAAAATTTTAAATACATATATTATTTAATTTACTTATTTTAATTAAA